TGTGTGTGTGTGTATGAGTGTGTGTATGTGTGTGTGTGTGTGAGTGTGTGTGTGTGTGTGTGTGTGTGTGTACCGATCTCATGTGCCACGGTGAAGGCGGCGTGAAGCCCGTCGTCCTCGATGATTGCACAGCTCCGCTCCGGTGAACACACAGTTCCCACATCAGCCATACCGAGAGTATCGCACGAGTGATGACCGCACAGATCCTGCACACAACAGCAGACTTTCATTCATATTTTAAATTAGCTTTTATTTTTATATTTTTATGTTTTTTGTTTGAATTTTAGTTGAATTTTTATTAATTTTGTTGTGTGATTTGGAAATTTTATTTATTTTAAATTTCATTTTTAAATATATTTTTTAATAGTACTGTAAATATATACTTTTGATCTTTTATTAAATTAACTTTTATTTCAGTTGTAGTTGTCATTTTAGTAGTTCAACCTAAGCTTATTTATTTCATTTCTTATTTTTGTGTTTTTCATCTAATATTTCTGTTCCCTTTTAGCCTTATTTCAAATAGCGGAAATGAATATTAATAGTTCCAATAAATGACAAAAATACTTGAGTCAGACTAAATTTGTCTGAAAACTCTTTCAATGAGTAGCTTGCCTGTAATTCAACTACTTTAAAACTACTTAAAAAAAATCAAAAAAAAATCACATTTTTCATATTTTAAACATAAAATACTATTTTGTTGGATTTATGATTAAAGTCAGCATGAAATGAAAATTCATCTGTTTTTTTAAATGCATGCTATAGATCTTACTGTGAACAATTCATTCATGCACGATTCTTTTTTAAACAATGTTTAATCAAAATGTCATAACTGAATCCTCCAGCAAAAAGGCAACACTTGAATATACGTCACAACACAGAAGTAAAGATCATCTCAACTTAAAAAAAAAGAAATAAAAAGAAAAGCAGGAAAAAACGGCATTTTCATAGATATTCTCTTATAATCGTCTCAGGTTGTTATAAGGATGTCAAGATGCATTTACTAGAAAACAAAGAACTTTCATCACTAAAGTCCAGAACATCACCTCACACACAAACACACAGGAACGCCTCTCGCAAGCGTTTGGCAAGCACTCTGAGCAAACATGTGGACGCAGACAGAGGAAGACGAGCGCTCTGAAATGTGATTCTCCAGCGCCGTGAGTTTCTGTCACCTGCTTCTGATTTACAGGGCGTTTCAGGGCCAGACGTTCGGCCTCGACCCGCTGATCTGAGGTCTACTCTCACACGTCCATCAGTGACGAGACGAACATCAACGCTGATCTGAGACAAGAGCTTCAATCGCTTGTCTGGCCTGTTTGGATCTAAAAAAACTGAGGAGGATCCCATATAGCAAAAAATGATGAGTTCATTTGCAAAAACAGATAACTCTGTGAGAGAGTGTGTGTGTGTGTGTGTGAGAGAGAGATTGTGTGTGTGAGAGAGAGTGTGTGTGTGTGAGTGTGTGTGAGTGTGTGTGTGTGTGTGTGTGTGAGAGAGAGTGTGTGTGTGTGTGTGTGTGAGAGAGAGTGTGCATGTGTGTGTGTGTGTGTGAGAGACAGTGTATGTGTGTGTGTGTGAGAGAGAGAGTGTGTGTGTGAGAGAGAGTGCGTGTGTGAGAGAGAGTGTGCGTGTGTGAGAGAGAGTGTACATGTGTGTGTGTGTGTGTGTGTGTGTGTGTGAGAGAGTGTGTGTGTGAGAGAGAGTGCGTGTGTGAGAGAGAGTGCGTGTGTGAGAGAGAGTGCGTGTGTGAGAGAGAGTGCGTGTGTGAGAGAGAGTGTGCATGTGTGTGTGTGTGAGAGAGAGTGTGTGTGTGTGTGTGTGTTTGTGAGAGAGTGTGTGTGTGTTAAAAATGTTCAAAAATCATGTTTTTTTTTTATCCTGCAATCCAATTAATATCTATCAAAGTGCAGTTGGGTTGTTTTGATTAAATAATAATAACTAAAAAAAAATACAGCTAACACAATAAAAACATGATTTATAAAAATTTATAAAAACGTAGTTATCTGTTTTTGCAAATAAACTCTTCAAATATACTTTTTATGGCCAAAATATATTTTAAATATATGCTAAATATATGTTGTAAACAGTGAAGCTCACTGAAATATATATTTTCAATGTAAAAAATATTTAGTTTCAACCTTCATAATATATTTTAAAACGTATTTCAGTGGCAAGAAAATACATTTCCAATTTTAAAATACATTTCCAAAACATTTATGTTATATGTTCACCTATAGACAAGTTTTTCTTCAAATGTGACATATTCAGTGTTATTTTAGCATGATTGAGATAATATTATAGTTTTTCTTAATATTTTGAACTAGATTTTAATTTTAAAGTTTTAGTATTTTTTTGTGTGTTTTTGTCATTTTTATTAGTTTTTGTTGTTTGTTAATATTTTAAATTTCTTTTTTATATTTTCTACTTTCATGTTAATTTTACTTAAACTTAATAAATAAGTAATCAATAATAAGTAATTTTGTTGTGTTTTTATAATTTTTATTAGTTTTTGCTGTTTATAATATATATACACACACATACATATACATATATATATATATATATATATATATATTATATATATTGTTTTTATGTCTTTATTAATTTTTATTTCAGTTTTAATTTTAATTATTTTTGTCAAGTTAAAGTAAATGAAAATGTGAAATCTGGTCTTGTCAACTAGGTGAAATTAAATAATTGTGTTTTATATTTTATTTTATTTCAGTTAACATTTATTTTATTTCAATTTTTTTTTTCTTTTATGGTTTTAGTTTTAGTTATAGTTAACTAAACCCTGAAGTGAATGTATTTTCTTGGACTGAAATATATGGAGGGCAAAATATATTTTTAAATGCTATAAAAATATATTTATATTCTTAAAATATTTTCAAAAATATACTAAAAATATATCGCCAGAAAATATATTTTGATATATATTTTTGCTGTAAGGGATCAAACAACATCATTCCTTTAACATAAAAAAAAGCTCCTGAAAATCTCTGAAATCAACAGTTTGCTTGAACAAAACAATATTATCAGCCATATCAGCTCCTCTTGTATCCAAAACAAATTCTTCATCCTACTGAGTTTCTCGGCAGAGGCTGGATCCGATCGCAGCTTGTTGCTACTCAACGCTGGCACGGCCCGTAAGGATTTGGGACAGCGGGACGCAGACGGATGGATTCAGAGCGTCCAGAATCTTTCCGAGGTTTTCAGTGAACTGTAAACATATAGCGGCTGAAGACTTGTGAAATGCCCCAGACAGACAGACGCTACAAAACACACTGCCACATATGTAAGAAATCACGGCAGGAGATATTAGAGACACACGCATGATCACCAACAACATGCACGAACTCTCTCTCATACTCCTGAACAAACACTACAGTATTTACTCTGTCTGTACGCATTCATACACCCTGTGTGTTCAGTACATAGTGTGTGTGTGTGTGTACACTTTCCTATTAGAAAATTGCATCTCAGGAACCACACGCCAGTGGTTTGAGTCTTACTTCTCAGATAGGTCCTTCAAGGTATCTTGGAGAGGTGAGGTGTCCAAGTCGCAACATCTAACTACTGGGGTGCCTCAGGGCTCAGTTCTTGGACCACTTCTCTTCTCTGTCTACATGGCATCACTAGGTTCTGTCATTCAGAAACATGGCTTTTCATATCACTGCTATGCTGATGACACTCAACTCTACCTCACATTCAACCCTGATGATCCGACGATAGCTGCTCGCATCTCAGAGATTAATCTTTAATGAGCCGAAAAGAACACACGTCACACCTCTGTTTATCCATTTGCACTGGCTGCCAGTAGCTGCTCGCATTAAATTCAAAGCATTAATGTTTGCCTACAAAACCACTACTGGCTCTGCACCCATTTACCTAAATTCATTACTTCAGAGAGATGCTGAAAATACAGCTTTGATCACAGAAATAAATACAGTTTAACAGATATTCACATAAATTGAAATTATAATTGACAATTTTTACTGTATTTTACTGGTGAGCAGAAGAGACTTTTACGGACCCCAAACTTTTTTGAACACACAGTACATGAGAAACTAAGTAAAGTGTGTGTTATTGCATCATATCTGCACCTGCTCTGATGTGAAAATCACACGCAGTAAAAACACACGCATGCCATCTTGTCTTCATCTGGTCTGTGTCCAGACACACGTGTCATTGTGTCCCGCAGCATCAGCATCAGCGAAGTCATTATCACACATTCACCCGAAGCATGAGCTCAATGTGCCTCTTGTTCTGTGTTTTGCATCCACACACATGAAAGACCTACGCTCTTCTGCAGTGAGATCAAGTTTAGAAACCTTAATTTCTCAGATCTTATAAAGGTTTGTTGTTTTGTAGATGATTCCCACCCTATTTATCATGAGTTTACCTTCTTCCTTCTGGCATTTGGTGTAGAACCTCTATCAGTAAAACAAATTGGTTTACACATTCATTTATCCCCTCAGCTGTAAAGTTTTTAAATTTAAGGTAAAACTTTTTAAGGAAGGAAATTGAGTGTGTTTTTTGTATTGTGTGTTGTGTTGTCTTATGTGATATGCTTGTATGCTGCAAGCAAATTGCCTTCGCGAAACAAATAAAGATGAACTGAACTGAACTGAGGTTGCACACATGATGCATGATCATGGATTTTGTCATACAAACAATTGTGATTAACGATTTCATTCTGTTTTGTTCATGTCATGTACAGTGTAAGCCTAATACACTATTTTACCTGGAATCATTTAATAAAATAGGTGCATACAATTTACTTGAATGCTGTGAAAATTAATAATATTTGCATAATTCATTATTTATGAATATAATATAATATAATATAATATAATTTTTGACATTTAAGCTCTTTAAGCTCTTAAAATTCCCTTATTTGGATGGCAAAATGTCATTTAAAATTAGTGTTATTTACAGTTTTTAATAATAGTTTGAATTTTATTTTTATATTAAAAAAATTTGTTATGCACTTTTGCCATTTATTTATTTATTTATTTATTTATTTTTAGAAATATTATTACTTAGCTTTATGTTCAGTTTATTTATTTTTTCAGCTTTAGACATATTTAAAATTATACTGATATTTATATAGACATTTAAAATGTAATAAAAATAATGTAATAAAAATGTAATGAAAATCAATACAATTAATAAAAATATTAATAATGTTATTAAAAGCTTTCATGTTAATTTTAGTTGAAGTTTTAATAACTTTGTCGTGTTTTTGCCATTTGTATTAGCATTTGTTGTTTTTAAATATGTCTATATAGTTTTATTAATTATATGAATTATTTCAATTTCAGTTTTAAGTTATACAAAATTAGAAATGTTGCTGTGTTAAGTACCTGAAATAAATTTTTTTTATATTTTATTTAATTTCAGTTAACATTTATTTGATTAAATTTTTATGGTTTTATAGTTTCAGTTAACTATGCTTCCCAATTATTGTGGCTATCTCAAATAATTGCGATTATCTCAAATAACCATAATCATACAATTTATCAATCATTGCAACAGGTACCAACATTGCCGGGTGCGCTACCGAGCAAGCTTACACCAGAAAAGCTGTACACATGGAGCTGGTTATGTGATGCAAACATTAAAATGTATTCATTTACAAATCATGCATTTGGTAAAAGTGTTTTGAGCTCATAGTATTGAGCAAGGAACTGTGTGAAAATAAGTCTTAATCGACAATCTGCACCTGTTACCATAATTTGTGTGAAAAGGAATAAAAGATGTTAATGTTTTACTGCTACTAGTGTGAAACTGCAGTGAACTGCATGCATAGGTATATTTTTTTGCAAAAATGTAGGTTGCATGTATTTCCAATGAGGCCATTCATTTCCCAGGGAATGCATGAACTGATCAAATGCATACCTGAATGAAATGTAAGTTGCTTAAAGCATCTGCCAAGTTCCCACAATGTTTTTATAACCTAAATTTGTTACCTAGGTTGTATCTTGAACGCAGCATTTATCAGCTATTGCAAAGAAGGTTATTAGTGAACTTAAATTTCAGTCCATTTCTTCTTCGCGAGCATCATATGACTTCACTTAGAATATAATGCATAAGTATAGCATGGACTATTTTATGATGCTTGTTTCCCTTTTTGATGCAGTAAAAATCCCTGTCAGCACTTTTACTGTTTAGAAGATAGCAGCATGAACATTCTGCTAAACTTCTTCTTTTGTGTTTCACAGAGGAATAGAAGTCATACAAAAGTTTTAAACAAAATGATGACAGATTCTCATTTTTGGATGAGCTTGGCTCAGTAAATATAAAAAATAAATCAGTGTTAGTCATGAGGCAGAGGAGGCTTTGAGAAACTGTGCAGCAGCAGCAGCAGAGAGGAAATGATGCTTCGGTTGTTTCATTTCTTTGTGTTTGGGTTTGGCGGCGGTTCAGAGCTCTCAGTGGGTGTCTGTGGGCTTCTGCTGCCCATCATGGCTTGTTCACATGGTGTACTTCACAACCACACACTCTTAAACACACACACTGTACGCCACCAGGTGTGTCAGACTCCACACCACCAGAGGAAAGACACCGCTGGCACCGTCCATCCCACACACACACACACACACACACTGTACGCCACCAGGTGTGTAGACTCCACTCCGCCAGAGGAAAGACGCCGCTGCCAACAGAAGCTATGTCTCTGTGGAATCTGGTGTGGCGGCTCTTAAGTGAGGAAAACGACGTCAGCGGAATTACAGATGCCAACCGAGGGCACCAGGGAGTGAATGCCGGTCTGCTAGAGGAATTAGTCACATAGTTAGAGGAATAGCTCACCCAAAAATGAAAAGTGAGTTTCTTCATTGGAACACATGTGGAGAAATGTGTCATTGTATCAATGGATGCTCAGCAGTGAATGGGTGCCGTCAGAATGAGAGTCCAAACAGCTGATAAAAACATCACAATAATCCACAAGTAATCCACAGCACTCCAAATTTTGTGTAAACTATTCCTTTAAAACTATGCATGTAAACATCACGCAAAACAAGAATTCTTGATAACACTTTAGAACAAGGTTTGTTAACTTTAATTAATGCATTGGGTATCAATATTTTCAAAGCATTCATTAATAAAGGTAATGGGAATTTATGCATACACTTATATATCTTTAACATTTCAAGTTGTATAAATTAACATTAATGTAATATGAATAAAAAAAAACATGTTTATAAATTAACATTAACAGATTAATAATGTCAAAAATGCCAAAAATGTATAATTAGTTCACAACATTGCTATTTTAGTACCAATGGGAAACTATTATAGTTTTTTCAATAAATATTTTTAATTCATTTATATTTTTGTATTTTCAGTGTCATTTTGGTTAAAGTTTAAGTGATTATGTTGTGCATTTTGTCATCATCATTATTATTATTATTTTTTAAATACAGTTCTATTTTAGTTTTAGTTTTAGTTATTACCTCAACATAAAAAAAAGAAGAAATTAAAATGAGAAATGTCACATTGGCAACTAGCTGAAATAAAATAAGTTTACGTTTATATATATATATTTTATTTTCATTAACATTAATTATATTTCAAGTACTTTATAAAATAGTTTTAATTAACTATAATAACCCTTAATTTCAGTTAGTTTTAGCAGTTTTGTTGAGCTTTTGTCATTTTCATTATTGTTTTATTTTAAAAGTCTAAATAATTTTTTCATAAATTTTATTTAAGTTTTAGTTGAAATTATTTTAGTACATCAAGTTAAACTATATGAAAATAAAACCTGAATAAATAGCTGAAATAAAAAAGTTTACTTTTTTAAATTTCATTTTATTTCAGTTACGATTTTTTTTTATTTCAAGTAATGAAAAAGTATTTTTAGGATTTTAGTTTTAGTTACCTATAACAGCTCTGGTTCATGATACCAAATGCATTAACTAATGTAAACAATTAAAAAATCTAAAGATATTCAGGATAACATCTGAAAGCTTGCTTCGCATGCAAACTGATCTGGTTTTAAGGATGTTTAGATAGTTTTACTAGAAAACAAGACAAAGTTACAGATGAAGCGCAGGATTTTGGCACTTTAAGTGCTCCAGTGAACAAGACCTTGCATGACTTACATGCACCACAAGCCTCGTCTGGAAACAAGACAAGCTCCAAACCACAAGCGCGGTGTTTGAGCGAGAGGCACGGAGCCTGCGCTTTACTGTGGGATCTGTGAGGGGCGAAACCAGTGTGGTCTCCAGCCCGGGACAGCTCTCTGCTGCGGTTCATGGCACTCAGATCTCGAGAGCGTCTCGTGTGAGGAATGTGCACAGACACACACTGTATGAAGACACTCACTAGTCAGGGGACCGAAGACGCCTGCCTAGAAAAACAGCAACAAAGGAAATAATTTTACAGTTCACTGTGGAACGGGAAGGGAGAGAGACTGACGTTCCCACAGCAGTCGACACATGATCGGATCCAGCTGACCTGGTCTCACACACACACACACAC